CTGCTGCGCAGTGCCCCCACTGTCCCCCCGCACAGCCCCAGACAGACACCCCCCTCCCCACCACCACGCTGGCTGAGGCCCCAACCAGAGCCCATCCCCTCACAGGCCAACGCCTTCCACTGTGCCCTGCAGCCCATGTTCCCTCTGTCCTCCACCCCCAGTCCTCCTGCGGCAGGGCCCCCCCCGACAAGGGGGCACTCTCCCACCACACAGTGCTGCTCTCCAAGTCTCCCGCCCTCTGAGGGTGCCCTGGGCCTTGCAAGGCGCTGGCCTCGCTCAGGCTCTGAGGCAGTGCTCAGGGTTACAGCGACGAGAGGGAGTTTCCCTGCAGGGCGAGACCTGCCTCCCCCGGCCCCTCAGGCCCCCGCTGCAGAGGCCCCAGTGCTGGCAGCACCCTGGCTCTCACTGCCCACTGCTGTGGTTTTGACATCTCGCGGCACTAGGAGGTTGCTGGCGGTGCCAGGGCACCCCACGATGAGCAGTGCAGAGCCCACGGACGCTGCACTGCAGACAGGGCAGCCTTCGTCTCCCCAGGGCCCTTCCCTCACACTCCCCGTGCTCACAGCAGGTGCACCTCCTGCAGTGCCCTGCCTCCGGGCAGGGACCGTGCTGGGCATCAGGGCCAGGCGGGCAGCCCTACCTCCGCACCACAGCCCGCTTCTGGCCACTGATGTTGTCCCACCACTTGGAAAAGAAGGAGATCTCGGACCAGATGAAGCGCCGGCGCGGGTCCTCCTGCATCTTCAGCACCATGCTGTTGAGGATGTGCTGCGTCTGGTCATAGTAGTACTTGTCAAAGGTCTTGATCCAGCCTGCCAGCACACGTAGGGGGTTCACTGCGCGGGGCCCAGCCCTTCCCCCCCAGCACTGCGGGGTGACAGGGACTGGGCTAGCCCTTCCCTGCTCCCCTGCCCACCTTCGCCTGCTTGCTCACCTGGGTCGTTGTGGGAGTGTGGCACCACAAACACCTGCAGGGGCTCAGTGTCCCATTCATTGGGCTCATAGGTGATATCGAAGCCCTGCTTCCACACACCGCCATCCTGGTTGTCAAAGGGCAGCAGGGAGTAGACGGCCAGCATCTGCCAGGTGGGAGACAGGGCTCAGGGCAGGCACCGGACTGAGAGACCCCCAACAGAGTAGTGCTAGGACCCCATGGATGCCCTGGTACGGACCCCCTCATGCTAGCAGAGATGGGCCCTGAGCTGCTGGGCTGAGATGCTGGCCTCTCACCTGCAGGTCTGGGCTCTGGCCCTTGCCCCCCAGGGCAAACTGGCAGTCCTGTGGGGAGACGGAGAGGAAGCTCGGGCGACTCTCAGGGGGCAGCACCCAGGAGCCATTGGGCGTGTGGTGGGGCAGCGCTGGCTGCCCCTCTGCATGGGCCGTCAGCTCCAGCACCGAGTCCTTGATGTGGCTGATGATCTCATGGTTCTCCTCCAGCAGCTGCTCCAGCTGCTCAATGCGGTTCTGCAGCACTGAGATCTGACTCTGGGGACACACACGCCGCGGTGAGAGCCTCCAGTGCCCTTTGCCAGGTGGGTCCCGTCCCCTACGTGCACTGACACCAGCAGGAACAAGCCCTGGCCCAGGCAACCAAACAGCCTCAGGCTGTGCCGGTTGGCCCCCGCTAGCCCTGGCCCGCTTGCCCGTTCTCCTGTCCCCACAGCCCTGCCGCTCACCCTGGGGAAGTTGCCCCCGCTCTGGTGGCGCGTGGGGTCGTGCTGCACCCGGTCCAGCATCAAGTAGAGGGAGAAGACGGCCACACAGAAGATGGCAGCTCCACACACTGTCACCTGCTTCTTCAGCTTCATCCCGGAGGGCC